CATCCAGGAAATTCCTTGGGATTTAGGAGCTCTGTGTCAGGGACGGGGTCAAAGCCCAAATGTTAGAACCAGAGACACTCCTAGTGTTCTTATCACTTAGGAAGTGACAGGGGTTTTAGGAGGCTGTGCCAGGGGCGGGGGCAGAGACCAGTATACATGTTTTCTCTTATCTCGCAATATGTGGTATGTGTGTGTGCATGTATGGAGGTAAGTGTGAGCGCGTGTGTAAGTGGGCACGAGTGTGATGTCTTGGTGGACACCCGAATGCCTGTGAGTGTTAATGTTCGAGGAAGGAATGAGTGTGTAAGTCTAAGCGCAGGTAGGTGTGACTACATGTATACATGTGTGTGCATGAGCATTTGCGGGTCTGTACAGACGAGAGCAGCGAATGTAGGTATGTACACGGAGTGTGGGAAGGTGGGAGTATTTTGACTGTGAGTGTGTGTGAATTTGCATGGGGTCTAGGAGAGTGAGTGTGTGAGTATGTGTATGTGTGTGTGCAAGTGTGTGTCTGTGTGTGTGAAGGGGCTCCCGCCTGCATCAGGGGACCCAGAAGCCTCCCTAACAGGGTCCCAGGCTGGGAGACTGTGTTTTTGCCTCCTGAAGCTGATTATTCTGGAAGTGACTCCACCATCTCATCTTGTCCCAGCCCAGAAGCTGGAGCCAGAGGTCAGGAGGTCAGGAGGTAAGCAGCCTGAGCTGGGCTACCAGGAACCTGGTCCCACAGAGAGGGCGGAGCCAGGGCAAGATGAGGTGCCAGGAGTTTTGGCTTCAGGATCTGGGGACGGAGGGCCGTTTGGTGGGCAGTACAAGAACGGCTGCCTCGGGCAGGAAGAGGAAATCCTGCCGTGAGCACAGCCTCGGGGCCTCGCCTGCCCCTGAGGCCCAGCCGGGAGCTGTCCTGCTGGCCACTGAGCTGTGGGCAGGTGGGCTACACCAGGGCCTCTTTCTGGCCCTCCCTGGGCCCCTTCTGAATCCAGACACCACAGTCATCTCTGTCCAGTGAAGGAAGCTTTGACACCAGACTGTTGGCCAATGGACAGGCAACTAGGCTCCCACCCTGAGACTAGCACTGAAGGGTGCAGTCAGTGCATAGGCCTTGGGCCTCCGTCCAAGTCTGTGCTTCTCGCACTCTCTGCAAGCTTGAGGGCAGGGCCGTTGTCGGGGCTGCTAATGGCTGCATTCCCGGAACCTCTCACCGACCCAGTCCATGTTCGTTGGGTGAATGAAGGGACAAATGGATGAAATAGTGAACGAGTCTGTCTCCAGGGCCTGGAACTCCCTCCCTCCCCTCAGTTCAAGTTCCTGAATCCCAGGACCACCCACCGGCCCCAGCCCCTCCCTGTGGACACCGCTCTCACTGAAGTCACCTCTCAGCCCCAACAGCACCTGGGGCCTGTCTACATTGCAGGGCCAGGCCTGGCTCAGCGTCGTCTTCACTGTCCCTGTGAGTCCCTGTGGGGGGTCGGGGCACCATGGGGGACCTGCGTGGAGTCCTCACCCAAGTTAGAAAACAGGGAACTGGACAGAGTGGGCTTTCTTCCTTTCCCTTCCAGACAGCGTGGTCCTGTGCAGGCAGAGAGGGCCTCCTGGGTGGGCCTTACGTGCCAGGCTCAGGGACATGGCAGGCCCCCAGCCCTTTGACCATCTGGAGGCCTCCCTTGACATCACAGCAAACATGTCAAGACAAGTGTTCCCCATAGCTACATGGAATTAAAATTTTGCCACGAGTTTTTAAAAAGGATTTGTATAGCCTTTAACAGTGTTGAATTTGATAAGAACAAATTGCTTGCTGCTGTGCATGAACACGTAACTGCTATTATTTTCTCTGTTTTGGTCACCGCTGACACCACGGAGTCCAGCTCAGTGCTCCGTGCTCAGCAGGTGCTTGATAAACATTGCTCACTCAGTGGCACTTGTGTGATGTAAATCTAACTTCACGTGACAATGCGAGCTGATGTGTGGGGCAGCAGACACTGAACGAAGGGGTATTACTTTGTTGTTTTGCAGAGGAAGATTCACTAAGCTGACATCTGTCACCAATCTGCCTCCTTTTTCTTCCTTTCCCGCACCCAAAGCCCCAGTACATAGTTGTGTGTAGTTGTAAGTTCTTCTGGTTCTTCTGTGTGAGCCACCACCACAGCACGGCTACTGACAGATGAGTGGTGTGGTTCCATGTCCAGGAACCAAACCTGGGCCGCCAAAGCAGAGCGTGCCGAACTTTAACCCCTAGGTCATCAGAGCTGGCTCTACTTTTGATTTTGAGGTTTTCTTTTCTTAGTTTGGGAACACTTATTTCCCCATCAAGTTGCAAACATTGTCAGAGACTGCAGAACTGCTCACAGGCCTGCGGAGCCTAATGGACAGAAGGCGGCCGCGGCACCTGACCTCGTAGTCGGCCTCGCTGGGCAAAGGTTCCCCTCCGAACCCCAGGTACTGCCAGGGGCCTCTGAGAGCAGAGGAGCAGGCCGGCCTCTCCACTACCACAGCGAGCTCCAAGTTTCTCCCACCTGCCTCTCTGCCTGGTCTGTTCCCACTGCATCTCTTGCACAGCCTGGGGCCTGGGTGGGGTCTCCACTCCTTGTAGGCTGGCCTCCCTGTCCGCTTCCAGCCCTGCCCTTCTAACCTCTTGTCCATACAGAAGCCAGAGTGCCCAGGGCTGGCTTGGCAGGAGTGTGGCTGTGCAGTTGCTCAGGGCAGCCTTCAGAAGGCCCTGTGCCTGGGCGTCAGTGTTCTGTTGTTGCCATCTGGAGACTTGATCTTTTCAGCTCTGAGTTTGAGTTTCGTAAGTGGAGTCTGATGGGAAAATGGAGCATGCACTGGGGGCTTGGAGCCTCAATTCCCCGCATGTCCTGCCTCCCACTGCCTCCCCAGGACGGGTTCTGGGCTACCCATTCCCACTCCCTGGCACTCCCACCACCTGGAGGCTTGAACTGGGGTTCAGGAGAACTGGGGACCCGGATTGGCTCCAGGCACCTTGGGGTGGGACAGGGTGGCAGCCATCCTCTCCCAGGGCTGAAACTCGGTGAGACCTCTTGCTCACCCCTAATCCATCTACGGAGCATGTCCCAGCATGAAGGTGGCCTCTCTTAGTGTCACTCATTGGCCATGGGTTGGGGCGGTGGACTTGTGGGGAGAGGGATTGACTTTCCTGCCCCTGAGAGGGGCTCGGCAGTTTCATTTTGCACCAGGCCCACAAATTACATAGCCATCCCTAAGCATGATGCTCCTGTGACACACGTCTACCTGGCTGGACCACTCCTGGGACACCCATTGATGGGCCCGTATCCCTTCCTATGACTCATCAGGTCCTGCATGCCCAGGCCTCCTTGGCTCTGGCCTTGGTGAGTGTTCCCACCACCTGAGTACCTTCATTCCTTCCAGCGGGTGACGTCCCCTCTGGTTCACTCTGCCTAGAACAACCTTTCCCTGCCCCTTTGCTCACCAGGATAGCCCGCCCTAACCCCTGTGCCCCACCCCGACCCCCACCAGTCTGGTTCACTCTATCACAGTGGTGCATTCCGTCTCCCACTGGTCCATGTGCCCACTAGAGGGGACCTTGTCTCTTCTGTTCCCGGCTGCACCCCAAGGGCCTGGAGACCAATGTGTGGCCCGGGGAAGACTGGGTGCCCATCCGCTCTGCTACAGCTTTGCCCATTGCTGAGAAAGCAGGCTCAGAGAGGAAAGCAACTTACCAGGATCTCGTGCTGGGACAGAGGCAGGTTTAGAACTTCCATGAGAGTCCAGCACAGAAGCTCTCGCTGCATCTACCTGCCAGGGAAGCAAGGCCCAGGTGATTTAGAAAACCCAGGTCTCCGCCAAGAGGGGAGACTGGGCATGCAGCTCTGCCCTGCTCCTATCCTAGGCGAGGCTTCACTGCCAGCCCAGAGGGGCTTGAGTCGATGGTGCTGCTTCTCCGGCTTTGATTCAGTCCCACAGACAGAGGCCCTCTGGTCCCCAGTGCAAAAGACCGGGGTGGACAAGATCCAGCTCTGGCTGCAGGGGTGTCCTCTGCTGGGGGCGGTCTTCACCACACTTCTCTAGGGTATGAATCCTATGCCCCACCGCCTCTACATCCTAGCTTAGGGCTTAAGAATAGACTCTCCGCCTGGCCAAGTGGCTTTCTCTACGTAAGTGTGACCCCTCAGAGCCTGGAGAGGTGAAGGGAGGCACCCAGGACCTCGGCTCGTATGGGTCAGCCGGGAATCGAGCCTGGATCAGCCTGACACCAGAGTCTGGGCCACACTGAATCCGTCACAAATCAGGTCCCTGAGCCACAAGCCACCTGAGGGTGAGATCACATCCAGTTGGGAGGGACGAGGCAGGGAGTCTCCAAGGAGGGCACTGCCCCTGAGCTGGGCCCCCGAGGGTCTCTCAGGAGTAATGAGCAGGAGCCGTGCTGCAGGCATTGGGAACACAGAGCAAAGGTGCAGAGGCAGGCGAGGGCGGGCGAGAGGGAAGGCTGGAGCGGGGGACCAGGCCTGTGCCTGCAGGCCAGGCGGTTTGGATTTTGACGTGATGGTGGTAGGGGCCATAGCAGGTGTTTGAGCAACATGGGGTCAGCTCTGCTTGTGGAAGTTTATGCTGGCTGTGCACTGGGGGGTAGACGGTGGTTAGAAGGTCCAGAGGTGACTGTCACAAGCTGGAAGCAGGGTGAAAGCCCTTGAAAGGGGAAGATGCCAGGTGACACGTAGCCGATGTCAGAGAAGCCAGGCGTGGGTGGGTGGGGTGAGGGTGCTGAGGAAAGCTTCCGCTGGGACTTGGCCCCAATGAGACCAGCTTGGTGCCAGCTGGGACTGGCCCCCAGGGGCGGGGGTGTGAGGGCCAGAGGTGGTATTGGGGCATCACAGGGCTCTGTACATAGTAGGTGCTCAGTGAATACTCGTCCAGTAGGGCAGCTCTGGCTGTGCTTTCCCCCCTTTGCACACCCTGCTTGGTGTCCCTGGAAGGACCCCGCCTGGGCCAGTAGGGGCAGTAACTGCCCACGGTTTCATCTTTGCCTGTGCATCCATATGGCTTCTCTCTCTTTCCATCCACCCTCCCCCTCCCTGTCCTTATCTTTCCCTTCCGTCTCCATGGCGACTCACCACCTCGGCTTGCTTGCATCCCAGCCTCTGCCAGGGATTCTGAGCCTAGCTCGGTCCCTCCCTCCTCCGGAGCCCTGGTTCCCGCAGTCCTGTCTCCTCCCCCTGGGTGAGTCCAGAGGCAGCCTCCTCTTTCCCGACTGTCACATCTATTTTCCAGCTCTGACGGAGTCATCTCCCCTGGGGAGACCATCCCCCACCCCGGCTTCCACCTGCCACAGCTCGGCCAGCCCTTCCAGGAGCAAAGCCATCCTTACCAGCCACTGGCTGAAGGTCTCTTGGGTCTCTGGCCTCTGCTTCCGGACCCTGTCCCCACTCCCAGCCTCCCATGCCGAGGTCCGCCTTGTCAGTCATTTCCTTTTGTCACCGGCTTGGCAAACAGGCAAGTCTTCAGTCCTGAGATCTGGGGAGGAGGGCTGGGGCAGGAAGGGGCCACCTGGGGCTGGGGGATGGGTCTGTGGGGGGAGGATGAGGGGCCACCGGAACCCAGGAGGAAGATAGAAGTCTAGATTCTCTTCTAAAAACCTTTTTGTTGTTGTTGTTGTTTTTTCCCCCAATTTTCTCTCCAAGGAGAGAAAACGGAGCTTCATGGGAAACAGCAGCAACAGTTGGTAAGTAGCAGGGCCTGCCGGTGGGGCTGGCGCAGTGGGCCTGGTCCAGGAGCAAACAAGGGAGGCCTGTGGCCCCGAGCCTCCAGAGGGCCGGCCCAGGGGAGGCAGCTCGAGGCTGGATCGGCCAGGCTGGGGAGGAGGCGGCAGGGGAAATCAGTGGGTGCTCAGGGAGGCCGACTCCAGCTGAAAGCAGGAGAGTGGAAGGAATCTTCTAAGAACCAGAGCCATCTGCCCCACCGCCGGGAGGCTCCCATGGTCCCCTTAGGCCCCGCTCTGCGGGGCGTGTTTAAGCTGCTTCGGGAAGGCAGTGGAGGGGATCACTCCTTGGGGGTCAAGGGCATCCTTGCAGCGGAAGGCAGTGGGGGAGCACTTCCATGAGCGTTTGTATGGGCGCTGGGCTGGGCGTGCATCCATTGTCCCATCTTGTGACCCCAACGGCGTCCCGAGGCAGGCACTGCTAACCTCTTCTCTTGGAGGATTAGGAGATGGGCCCAGGTCGGGGCAGGAGCTTGCCCCTGGTGGTACGTGGTGGTGTGGCAGACCCAGGGTTCCATGCAGGCTTTCTCCCTGTCTGGCTCACTCTCCCCACTGCTCTGCTGCCCCCACTCTGGGATCCCTAAGCTCTGAGGTACAAGTCAGTGAGGAATGGGCAGAGTATGGTCTCTCTGGGAGCAGCCTGCCCTCTGAATCCCTGGCCTGTGCCCCTGCACCCCACACACCGCTCTGACCCCAGGTCCCGCACGCCATTCCCCAAGTTGGAGCTGGGCCTGGGGCCCCGGCCCACAGCCCCCCGGGAGCTTCCTGCCTGCTCCATCTGCCTGGAGAGGCTACGCGAGCCCGTCTCGCTGGATTGCGGCCACGACTTCTGCACGCGGTGCTTCAGCACACACCGCGTCCCGGGCTGCGAGCCACCCTGCTGCCCCGAGTGCCGGAAGATATGCAAGCAGAAGAAGGGCCTCCGGAGTCTGGGGGAGAAGATGAAGCTCCTGCCGCAGAAGTCCCTGCCCCCCGTGCTCCAGGTCAGGGGACCCGGCCTCACCGCGGAGTGGGGGGCACAGAGAGACCCGGGGCCAATCCCAGAGGAGGCAGGGGGCTTCGGCCCTATTCTGGAATGTCGGGGTGGGAACAGAGTTCAGGGTTGGACACACTGCCGACTTGGGTCCCGACGCCCAAAGCTGGATGCTCAGGGACCCTCTTCCTCCTGGCCCAGGAGACCTGTGCCGTGAGGGCAGAACCGCTGCTGCTGGTGCGAATCAATGCCTCCGGAGGCCTCATCCTGAGGATGGGGGCCATCAACCGCTGCCTGAAGCACCCCCTGGCCCGGGACACCCCTGTCTGCCTCCTTGCTGTCCTGGGGGAGCAGCACTCAGGGAAGACTTTCCTCCTCAACCACTTGCTGCGGGGCCTGCCGGGCCTGGTAAGGGCGGGGCTGGGGGGTAGGTTCGGGGTCCCAGCCTGGCTTTGGGAGGGGAATGGGGCCACGATGGACCAACTGATGCTGCGCTTGTCTGCCCCACAGGAGTCCGGCGAGAGCGGCTGGCCCAGAGGAGGGGGGTCCCTCCAGGGGTTCAGGTGGGGTGCCAATAGCCTCACCAGGGGCATATGGATGTGGAGCCACCCCTTCCTGCTGGGGAAAGAGGGGAGGAAGGTGAGGGGGGAAAGGGCAGCAGAGGTCAAGATTGGGTCAGGGAGGGGTAAGAGAGAGAACAGAGATGGTCAAAGAGGAGGGGAACCCAGAAAATCTTTGGGGGCAAGGTGAGAAGATGGGGTGGGCAGAGGTTAGGGGGAGAGTATGGTGGAGTGAGGCAGGCCTGGCTCCTCTGTTTGTCCCCCGTCCTGCTTCCCACACAGGTGGCTGTGTTCCTGGTAGACACGGGAGATGCCATGAGCCCTGAACTCAGCAGAGAAACAAGGACCAAGCTGTGTGCCCTCACCACGATGCTGAGCTCCTACCAGGTGAGGGTGCAGCCCCCCGCCCCCCCAGCTCAGCTTCCTCCAGACCCGGGGCATCTCAGTCGGGTCTGGCCCTCAGCACACTGGGAATGGTCACCCTGCTCTCACAAGCTTTTGTGTCCGGGGTCCCAACAGGTTCTGGGGGTGTCCCTGCAAGGGGGGCGGTGCCATCTGCCCCACCGCCGGGAGGCTCCCATGGTCCCCTTAGGCCCTGCTCTGCGGGGCGTGTTTAAGCTGCTTCGGGGAGGCAGTAGAGGGGATCACTCCTTGGGGGTCAAGGGCATCCTTGCAGCGGAAGGCAGTGGGGGAGGACTTCCATGAACTTTTGTACGGGAGCTGGGCTGGGCGTGCACCCATTGTCCCATCTCGTGACCCCAACGGCGCCCCGAGGCAGGCACTGCTAACCTCTTCTCTTGGAGGATTAGGAGATGGGCCCAGGTCGGGGCAGGAGCTTGCCCCTGGTGAGTGCCCCTGGTCAGTGAAGGTGGGAGCATGGTTTGTTCTAAAGGTTCGTTGAAGGTCCCTGGGGACAGCTGAAGATTTGCAGGACCATTTCCCAGGTTGCCTTCCATTCCTCAAGGCCGGTCTAGCCTCGCAAGCTGTGGAGGCCCCTTGGGCTGGTCTCTCCCAGGCCTGAGCCGCCTGGAGTGCCTGCAAGCTCCTTCCTCACCGGGGTCTTCCCAGTGTCTCTGCCTTCACAGATGCTCTTCCATCTCCTTGTTCTCCTTGGTTCCAGATCCTCAACACCTCCCAGGAGCTGAAGGATACAGACCTGGACTATCTGGAGGTGAGGGGACATCTGGTCTTGGGGGTGCCACCCGTCTCTGCCCTGACTATAAGGCCAGGGGACTGGCCCAACCGGAAGCAGGTGCCTTCCAGTTCTGGCCTAGGATCTCGTGACACTGGAACTGGGTTGGTGGGCTTGAGGGTAGAGGGTGAAGCACAAGATGCCTGGTTGGGGGAGAGACAGGAGAGCCCTGGAGCTGAGAACCGGGAGCATGGGTCCTACGGTGGGCCCAGGGGGCGAGGGGAGGCACAGTCCTTGGAGTGGCCCAGCTGTGACCCTCTGCTCTGCCCCTAGATGTTTGTCCATGTGGCTGAGGTGATGGGCAGGCATTATGGCATGGTGCCAATCCAGGTGAGACACCCATTTTGGACTTGTCACCCCAGATCCTGACACCCTCTGGCTGCTGGTGTCAGGACCCCTTTTCTTCCAGCACCTGGATCTCTTAGTTCGTGACTCATCCCACGCCAACAAGGCAGGGCAGGGGCATGTGGGTGACATCATCCAGGTGAGTGGTGCAGAAGGAGGGGATGGAGGGGGCGGGTGGACTGGGCAGGAGGTGAGGGGAGCCCGGGAGGGGTCCTGTAGGCGAGCTAAGAACTGGAGGCTGGATCCCCTAGCTCAGAGTGCTCCCCAATCTCTCAGAAGTCATCCAGGAAATACCCTAAGGTTCAGGAGCTGCTCCAAGGGAGGCGAGCCCGCTGTTACCTCCTGCCTGCTCCAGGGAGGCGGTGGGCAAGCAGAGCCCACGGAAACCCGGAAGGTGAGTGTCCCCAGGGGCAAAGGCCTCCCCAGCTTGCCCTCCTCCGGGCCACCGGAGCCCCCTCACACTAGCCAGCGTCTCCCAGCCTCTGATACCCTTTCTCCTCCCAAAGCCCGGTCCTGCTCAGCCCCCGGTCTCCTCAGCAGGAGGAATCTCTTCCTCAGACACAGATGACGATTCCCACCACCTCCGTGCCTATGTCTTGGATGTGCTGAGTGCCGCCCCCCAGCATGCCAAGAGCCGCTGCCAGGGGTATTGGAGCGAGGGGCGCCCCGTGGCCAGGGGGGACAGACGCCTGCTCACAGGGCAGCAGTTAGCTCAGGAAATCAAGGTGCGAACCCCCCCCGAAGGACCAGCAGACCCCACCTGGCCCCTTGCCCACCCTGACCCCCTCTGATGATGTCTCTGCAGAACCTCTCCGGCTGGATGGGGAGGACGGGGCCAGGGTTCACCTCTCCGGACGAGGTAGGGAGTTCCCCAGGAGGATCCAGGGCCAGGAGGGAGGCAAGGTCGAAGTGCCCTGGGATGGTGATGAAGAATAGGCACGCCCAGAGCAGGCAGAAGGAGGGAGGTAGCCTGGGTTTTCCTGTGGACAGATGGCCGCCCAGCTGCACGACCTGAGGACTGTGGAAGCTGCCAAAAAGGAGTTTGAGGAATACGTGCGGCAGCAGGTGAGCCCGCAGGTGCTGCGCGGGAGGCCAGGTGTCCCACCAGGTGGGGCCCACGCATGGGAGGGCTCCTGGGTCTCCTGGTCAGGGCGCCTTCTTTCCTCCTCCCTGTCACAGGATATGGCCACCAAACGCATATTCTCTGCGCTCCGGGTCCTGCCCGACACCATGCGGAACCTTCTCTCCACCCAGAAGGATGCCATCCTGGCTCGCCACGGTGTAGCCTTGCTGTGCAAGGAGAGAGAGCAGGCCTTAGAGGCCCTGGAGGCTGAGCTGCAGGCCGAGGCCAAGATCTTCATGGACTCCTACACCATGCGCTTCTGTGGCCACCTGGCTGCCGTGGGGGGCGCCGTGGGGGCTGGGCTCATGGGCCTGGCGGGGGGCGTGGTGGGCGCAGGCATGGCGGCAGCGGCACTGGCTGCAGAGGCTGGGATGGTGGCAGCTGGAGCTGCAGTGGGGGCCACGGGGGCTGCTGTGGTTGGGGGTGGTGTGGGTGCTGGTTTGGCTGCTACCGTGGGCTGCATGGAGAAGGAAGAGGATGAGAGGGTGCAAGAAGGGGACCGAGAGCCCCTGCTCCAGGAGGAGTAACAGCCCCCAGGAGATGTTGACGGGAGGGAGAGATGCCAGGAGGGTAGGGAAGGAAGCGCCCGAGAGGAGGGGTTGAGGGTGGTGTTCTGAGGGTCCCCAGGTACCACACTGACCTGGGTGAATGCCCACTGTCTTTGGCGGCTGGCTGAACTGGAGAATACAGGTGGCTCCAGGACCCTGGGGAGGCCTCCTGGGGCGGGAGGAAGTATTTGGGGGTTTGGGGGCGTTGAATAGACTATAGGGCCGGTTTCTGGCTGCAGATGACTGCTAACCTGCCATGGTTCCCAGATAAACTTGACCCCAGCGTCTCCCACCGAGAGTGAGGTCCACCCTCCCCACCCTGGCGTATTTCCCCAGATGACCTTGGATTGTAGGAAGGTGGAGTAGGTGCCATTCTGGAAGTCTCCTCTTGGGTAGAGGGGACCTGTCCTTTCACAGATGGGAGAAGCCCCAGGTGGAGTGACCTCAGTGTTCAGGACAGGGAGCACTGATGAGGGTAAGACAGAAGGAAAGGCCAGTGGGCAAAAGTGAAGAGTCCGGGTGTGGTGGACAGCAGCCTAAACCCCAGAGTGAAGGATCTCGCTCCTACGACTCTTCCCAAAGTGGCCCCAACACAACAAAAGAGGGCCGCCCCTCCTCCCTCAGCCCAGGGAGTCCGCATGTGCACCTCGAACGAGATCCCTGTCGATGTTCCCGTGTGGCTGTGCCCGTTGTCAAGCCTGGGCAGACGGCAGCGTGCCCCTGTTCTTTGTGGAATGCCGTCCCAGCAACGGATTAAATGCCAAAGAAAAACACCTGTCATTGCATGCTGAGCTAAAACAGATAGCCCTCTAGCAGTCTGTGAACGTCCTGCAAGGGACCGCACAGGGGACACAGCCCACCCTGAACACGCCCTTGCTCCCCGAGCCTTTGAGAAGACCCCTCTGTTGCGCCCTAGCAGGAGACCCGGGTGCAGCCCCACAGGGAACCTGAGGTTGCAGCGCCTCTCCCAGGGGGCGGAAAGTCCTACTAGGAAGACTTCCAGGCTATTAAGCTGTAAAGGATTAATGGGTGCATTCTATGAAAAATAAAATGTTTGTGCTTGAATGTCAGCTTCCCCCTAAGTTATTGTAACAATTCTTGAATTCAGACCCCAGGGGGCTTTGGGGCGGGGAGAGGTGAACTGAGGCACTCCATTTTGGGGACCTGTGGATGGGAAGAGGGAGACCAAAATTCAAGAGCTCTGGGAACTGAGTGTATGAGGCCCCCACTTGAGAGATGCAAGAGGGCTCACTCAGGCCAAAGGCCAAGGGCACGGCCACCTTCTCAGGCTTGTCCCCTAGGACTCAGGGTCCCTGCTCTCTGGTCTCTTCTGCCTCAGATAACCCTGTGAACAGGTGGCATCTGTCCTGGCAGAAGGAGGTAGTGGAGGCACAGACGGGGAGTCCTAAAGCCGTGGAGGGTGGAGGAGCCCAGAACTGCTTCTGCGGGGGGTCAGCCGTCCACCTGCTGCTTCTCCTCCCCGCCTCAGCTTCCCGTCTCAGAGTTACAGCAGCGGCACTGCATCCAAACCCTGCTTCTTGCAGGTGCAAGCCACAGACGGGAGGGCTCAGCTAGCACTCCCCGGTTGACCGATGGCAGAAGCAGGGGAGCCCTGAACTCCCGACCCCCTGCTGGCGTTCCCCCACAGACACAGAAGGGGTGTCGTGAAGCTCATGCGCGGAAATTGACATGCTCCTCTTTGGTGATTTCTTCCCCTCGATCCGGTCCAGCTCTGGGAAACAGTGCTGGGCGGACAGAGGCAGAAGGAAGTGGTCTGGGACACATGGCTCAACAGCAGAAGCTGCAGTTAGCAAGCTGGGGACAAAATAATGATGCAGAGAAATCCCAAAGCCAAGGTGGGGGATGGGTGGGGTGAAGACGGAGGGCTGAGGGTGATTCTCTCTAACTTTTGAGGAGTGGGCTGGGGGGCGGGGTGGGGTGGGTCTAGACTATGTGTGGTGTTTGTCAAGAAAGGCTTCCTGGAAGCATCTTTCCGGGTCCTTTTATCATCATCTGGCAGACACATGAGCTACAAAACCTCCCAGATTTGGGGGCTGGCAGGCTCAAGACTGGAGGGGCCTCAGAGGAGTCACGGAGGGAGGGTGTTGTCTAGCTAGAATGCCACCCAGCGGCGCTGGAGGGAACTGCAGTGGGGCTGCTTCTCCCTGCTGTTTGAAGGGGAGGCGTTGGCCCCGCGGAGTTCGGGGTGTGGAGTGCTCTGCAGAGGCAAGAGGAGTCATATTAAGTAGTATTGGTCTTATGCCTTATAGTCTTCAAAGCATCTTCCCAAATATCATCTCGCTGAAGCCTTAAAACCATCTCATGTAATATGGAGAGTACCTATTTTTACAAAAGCTCAGAGAAATGGGTCTCAGTAAAACTACCAGTCAGACAGAAGCCAGGACTTGAACCCAGGATTCCTGATGCCATATTCCTTGCTCAGGTGAGCCCTTCTCACCCTACAATTCTCTCCAGACCCCAAAACCAGGCCTCTGGGTCCCAAACCCAATTAGGGGGCTTCCTGAGCTTCTAGAATCGGTTGTATAATTGAGGAGAGCCCACGGGCCTCTGTGCCAAAGTCTCGGCAGTGTGCTGAAGTCTGACTGCTTTCTCTTCTATGACCTGTTGAAGGTCACTGACTCTAAGATTCTCAGATGACACGTTTCTGGGTTAGAGATCTGCTGACATAGCTTGTGCTTCCTGCTTCTGAGGCCTCCCTTGTGTTGAAGATGGCAGTACCACAATTAAAAGGAATCTGCATTCTTAAGCCCTGCTAAGGACTGAATGTTTGTGACCTCCCCCCCCACCCCGCCCCCCGCAGTATCGTATGTTGAAATCCTAATCCGCAGTGTGGTGGTATTAGGAGGTGAGGCCTTTGGGGGGTGATTAGGTCACGAGGGGGGAGCCCTCATGAGGGGGATTAGTGCCCTTATAAAGAGGCTGGGAGAGAACCCTAGCCCGGTCCACCACATGAGGACACAGCCATCTATGAACCAGGAAGTGGGCCCTGAACTGCCACCACAGTGGATCTGCCGGCATCCTGATGTGGGACTTCCCAACCTCCAGAACTGTGAGAAATAAATGTTTGTTGTTTTAATCCCCCTAGTCTGTGGCATTTTCTTACAACACTGCTTGACTGTCCGGAGCTGGAGCCCTGACTCCGCTGGCCGCCGTTACACGGTGCAGGGAGCAAGCAGGAGCCGTCCCTGCGTTAAGTGGGTGAGCTGGCCGTCACCCCGCCCTCCCCCGCCTAACAAGGCCTTTGCTCCTTGAAGTGGGGCGAACTCTAATGAAAACCTGAACATCGCTGGCTGGGGGGCGCCAAGGAGACATGCTGCTGGGTCCATTTTATGTCAAGACAAAACGTTTGGTAAAACTCTTGCCTACAATAATGTGGAAGGCAGACTTTGTGCTGTTGAGGCAAAAATTAAAAAAAATAAAATCTCCTGCCAACCCAGACAATTCTCTCCACAAATGTAGAAAAGAAATAGTTCTATTATTGAATAAACGTTAAACCAGACTGGGCTGTGCCACCGGTAATCTGCTATTTAAAAAATGAGAAAATGAGATTACAAAGACAGAAAAGAAATCCCACTATTTTCGTTTTTTTTTTTAAAGATTTTATTTTTCCTTTTTTCCCCAAAGCCCCCAGTATATAGTTGTATATTCTTCGTTGTGGGTCCTTCTAGTTGTGGCATGTGGGACGCCACCTCAGCATGGCCTGACGAGCAGTGCCATGTCTGCACCCAGGATCCGAACCGGGGAAACCCTGGGCGGCCACAATGGAGCGCGTGAACTTAACCCCTCGGCCACGGGGCCGGCCCCACCACCATTTTCATAAGGAGCAGATACAACCCATTACACGCACGCTCTCAGGTATGAGGACTTCTCAGGCGAGGGAACTTGACAGCCCCATTTGCTGTACCTGCTTTCACAGTTCACCCTAAATTCGCCTGGTAATTGGGGTGGCCGTCTGTGCTAGTTAATTGCTTCTATCTGAAGGAAAAATAAAATTTCTTGTATCTCCATGTTGAGCAGATCGTTGAGTCACCTCGGCCAAACTCACACTGTGACAGGGAGATGGGCATTGTCTTCCTTGATGTTGACACTGAAAAGAGATGGCTCCCAGGCCCTTCAGAAGCACGCTCCTGGGTTTTAATTCTGGCCTTTAAAAAGATTTGCACACATGTTGGAAGGACAGAGGAAGTCCTTACGAAAACAAGTTTTCTCTAGGAAAAGTTCTAAGAAAAGGGAAAGGAGAAAAATTCTCTTTCCCTTTTGTAACAAAGAAAATTCAATCTTATTTTTATTTACCCTTAAATTTCCCCCGTTTTGTTAATATTCTATCATGACACTCCAATTTTAATGCTCGCCACTGCTGTTTCTACCTTTCTCTTGGCATTTTGCAGCCATCTAAATATTCAGCAAGTTCACAGTAAAATCCAAATCAAAGAAATGATCAGAATCACAATGGGATCAATTAAAAATGCAGTGCAGTATGGGACTGGGGGAAAAACCATTAAACATGTCATACCCATGGCAAATGCTTAAAGCAAATTCTTATTTTTTTGGTTGAAGATTGGCACCTGAGCTAACATCTATTCCCAATCTTCTTTTTTTCATTTTTTCTTCTTCTTCTCCCCAAAGCCCCCCAGCACATAGTTGTATATTCTAGTTGTAGGTCCTTCTGGTTGTGCTATGTGGGATGCTGCCTCAACGTGGCTTGATGAGCAGTGCCATGTCCACACCCAAGATCTGAACCAGTGAAACCCTGGGCCCCTGAAGTGGAGTGCACAAACTTAACCACTCGGCCACGGGGCCGGCCCCTTAAAGCAAATTCTTGATTATGTAGGGGAGGAAAAATTATCCTTTCCTTCTACTCTTCTAAGTTCTTGGCTGGGCCCCTGTAAGAAAAGACAGATTAACAAGAGGAAAGCACACACATTGATTTAATGTGAGTTTTGTGTGACATGGGAGCCTTCGTCGGGAAAAGACCTGAAGAAGTGGTTACGCCTGAGTGTTTTTGTGCCGGGTTTGAGGAAGAGTGGGAAGCCGTGGAAGAATGTGATGCAGCAAAAGAGGACGTGGGCTAAGTGCCGTCAACTGGAGGAAACTGTTCGCTCGGCGTCCTCTCACTCCCTCTGTCTTCGGAGATGTGGCTCTCCTTTCCTCCGGGTACAGGAGGGCCCCTCTCACATAGAGCTTATGACCTTTCAGGGGAGGTCAGAGTCCTTCCCGAACCCGCTGCCTCTCAGATTCCTTCTGCTTAAAATGTTCAGTGTGCCGAGGTGCCACATTTTGGGGGAGCATGTTGATTTGCAATGTGCAAAAATTCTCCTTCGGCATGTATTAATTCGACAAACTGTGTGTTGTCTTTATTGCTTGCACTTTCACACGATCAACTATTTGTGTATTATTTTGTAGTTACTCAAGGTCTTAAGTCAATCTAAGCCTAAGGAATAGCATACCACCAGAGCCTAATAGTCCAACTTTCTAAGAGTTTTTCTTGTAAAGCCCAATACCTTTCTCCTGAGTTCCCATCAATTGCACAAGTAAGTCCACACTTACATGATAATTTAGGCCCTTCAGTAATTGGTCTAGCATTCTAAATAGTATTTTCCAGATGCCAAACATAAAGACACCCTGGCCATTACCTAGTGTCAAAGCCTTCTTATGGGCCCCTCGGCAGGGTAGTTTCCAGTGTTGACTGTCCAGGGCTCTAATTACAATATGTCTTGAGCACAAACCCACCTATAGGCCGCTTCTCACATCAGTCCAAATCAATAATTCTCCTACCGTGCAGGTTGGTCATGCTGAACTCCCAGTGACACCTCAGAGCAGCTTGTGACCAATTGCCGAGCTGCTGGACCGCTGCACACCTCTGAGACCTTTGTGATGAGTTTTGGGTCCACCATTAAATTATTCCCAATAGTCCATTTCCAAGTTTCCCCCCATTTCCATTGCAATTGTACCATGTGTTGTTGTAACTGTCCCAAAGCACCAAGTTTGGTAGTCAAAGTATTAACATCAAAAGTCATTAGCTAGACCTTGCCTGTTCTATTCCTCCAAG